AGTAGCTGGGACTACAGGCACCCACCACAACACCCGGCCATTTTTTGGTTGCAGCCATCATTGTTGTTTGGCGGGCCCAGGCTGGGGATTCGAACCCACCACCTTAGGTGTATGTGGCTGGCGCTTTAGCCGCTTGAGCCACAGGCGCCAAGCCCAATTCCATCTTTTTAAAAATACTTAACTAGAAAAGTTAAAACTTGAAAAATTAGAAAAAATTAAGAAGGTATTTTTATGACCTCAAGTTAAGAATTTCTTAAACAAGAGTCAAAAATTCTAACCATAAACGGAAATACTGATTAATTTTACCACATTTAAGAACTTCTTTTCTTTATAGTATAAAGTAAGCCACAAATTGGGAGAAGATATTTGCAACACATATTATTATTACATTCATTATGATGAAAGACTAGTATGCAGAAACATGCAGAAGCATTCAACAAATCAAAAAGAAAAAGATAAACAATCTAGTAGAAAATGGGCCAAAGTTATGTTCGAGCTTTGCACTGGAGCAAAAAACACAAATGGCTAGTAACACTAAAGAAAACACTGAACTGTATTTGTAACATGGAAAATGCACATCACAATGAGATATAACTTTATAGTCACTAGATCAGCAAAAACTTGAAAGCCAGAAAATACATGGGCAGGGAAGGATATAAAGTAATGGGAAGCTGTATTTTGCTGGTGGGAGTATAAATTGCTATAATTACATAAAAACTCAACATGGTATTACCTAATAAAGTTGAAGATGCATAGACAATATAATCCAGTGACTCAGTACCTGAGTATGTATTCTGGACTCTTTTTGGGAGGCAGAATTACATAATAAGATGATCTCCAAGATTCCTGACCCCCCCCCAGCCTCCCAGCTTTGTTCACATTCTATATAGCCTTTGATGGTTAATCCACGTCCTTGATAGTTTACTTCTATTTAAGATTCTGTCTTAAAGAAAGCCAAAACATTCTCCCATTGGCCTTAAAGAAGCAAACTGCCATGTTGAGAAAAGGGACATGTGGCAGGGAAGAGGAGGCAACCTCTAGGAGGTGAAGGCCTCAGTCCTATAGCTGCAAGGAACCAAATTCTGTCACAACAACCAGCGAGGGTTGAAAAGGACGGCGAACCGCAGAGGAGATTTCAGCCTGGTGATACCCTGAGCAGAGAACCAGGATATGCTGTGTCAGGATGTCTAACATGCATGACTTTGAGATAACGAGTTTGGTTACAGCTTCTAAATTTGTGGTAATTTGTTACATGGCAAAGGAAAACTAATATGTTCTTTAACATGTGTTCTAGGATACAGGTACAAGAATATCTATAGCAATACTTTTCTAGGAATAAAAAACCTGAAAGAAACAAAAGCCCAGCCAGTAGACTATGGATAAATTGTAGAAAATTAATACAATGGGGGCAGCACCTGTGGCTCAAAGGAGTGGGGCGCTGGCCCCATATGCCGAAGGTGGCAGGTTCAAACCCAGCCCTGGCCAAAAACTGCAAAAAAAAAATTCAATAACAGAAAATTAATACAATGAAATACTACATGTACATTGTCAATTGTACCATGGCCTACAAAGCCCTACGTGACCTGGCCCCAGCCCACAACTCCAACTTTGTCTCCCTCCTGTACACTACAAGAGCCACCCTGGCCTTCTGACAGTTTTAGAATTATCGTAAGCCTTGAAGATGTTGCACTCCAATATCCCCTTGCCCAGACTACTACTCTTACCTTACATCGTTGCAGATCGGCTCCTCCTCACTGCTCAGGGCTCAGCTAAAAAATCTCCTCTTCAGAGAGGCCTCCCCTGATCACTCTGGCTATAGCAGGGCTCCCAGCTACTCTCTAGCACATTACCTTATTTCATTGCCTTCACAGCACTTATCGCCACCTGAAAATCTTACTTTTTATCTATTTTTTTGTCTATCTCCCCCCACATGTAGGAACCTTGTCTATCCTGTTCATTTTTATACTCTATGCCAAATTGTTCTCAGCACATGAATTTTCAGTGAATGAAAAATAATTACATGTTGACTTGGTGCCTGTAGCTCAGCAGCTAGGGTGTCAGCCACGTACACTGAAGCTGGTGGGTTCGAATCCAGCTCAGGCCTGCCAGACAACAATGACAACTATAGCAACAACAACAAAAAAAAATAGCTGGGCATTGTGGCGGGTGCCTATAATCCCAGCTACTTGAGAGGCTGAGGCAAGAGAATCGCTTAAGCCCAAGAGTTTGAGGTTGCTGTGAGCTGTGACATCACAGCACTCTACCAAGGGCAAAAAGAAAAAGAAAAAGAAAAAGAATTACATGTTGAATGAATGATCTCCTATGGCCATGGTTCAAATTTCTTTGTCTCTGAACAAACAGTTTAAGTTAAATAACCTCTGTGGGTTTTTTGGGGTTTTTTGCAGTTTTCGGCTGCAGCCGGGTTTGAACCGCCACCTCCGGTATATGGAGCCATCGCCCTACTCCTTGAGCCACAGGTGCCACCCTAACCTTAGTGTTTTACATATTTGTCTATACCAGCGGTTCTCAACCTTCCTAATGCCGCAATGTATTTTCATTGTTAAAAAGGGGTCACAATCCGCAGGTTGAGAACCGCTGGTCTATACTATGATTCTTTAAACAAAGCACACAAACAGAAAGCATTTTATCAACTTCTGAATTCATATTTCCTCTTCCTTATCTTTAAAATATCATGGCTAGGATGGTTAAATATTCCATAAACACAACACAAAGAAGGAAAACAAAAGAGCCTATGTTTGTTTTGTGCATTGAACTAAAATAAATTGTTTTCTAATCATAAAGCTGCACCTGTTTGGGCCATTTTACCTTCAACAAATGGAAAATATCTACTTTACAGGTAGAACTTAAAAGATTTAAGTTTTTTGAAAGTTATGTACTTTAATATTGTGACTTCCTACTGACTTAAAGAAAGACTAAAACTGCATCTTTGCTAAATGTACTTAGTTGTTCATAATGAAGTCTATACAAATTATTTTTTATAGTCCATTCATTCCTTCAACATACATATGCATTAACCACACTGTGGACAGTATACTAAGGATGCAGAATGATATTACTGCTCAGACTAGATGGGAGAAGACAAAGGGCAATTCTAATATAGTGCACAACTGTTTGCAAAGTGACATGAAATACACACAAGGCCATTAACAAAGCTGGAGGAATCAGGAAAAGGTCCCGGCTTTGATACCTGAGATGAATTTTGAGATCAATAGACAAGAAAAGAGGGGTGCTTGTAGCTCAGTGGGTAGGGCGCCGCCACATGCACCAGGGCTGGTGGGTTCAAATCTAGCCCAGGCCTACTAAACAAAAAAACAACAATAAAAACAGCCAGGCATTGTGGCGGGCACCTGTAGTCCCAGCTACTTAGGAGGCTGAGGCAAGAGAATCACTTGAGCCAAAAGTTTGAGGTTGCTGTGAGCTATGATGCCCTATCACTCTACAGAAGGCGACAAAGTGAGACTCTGGCTCAATTAAAAAGAAAAAAAAAGATAAGAAAAGGAGAGAAAGGGTGCTCCAGATAAAGAAAATCTCAAGGGGAAGGGCACCATGGCTGAGAAACTGGGCAAACATGCCAGAATCACAAAAAGCAAATATGAAGGATGGCCAAAGAGATGAAACTGAAAATGTGGGCAAGATAAAGACAATGAAGTGCCCTGTATCTTACCCTAAGAGATTCAGATTTTGTTCTATAAAGAACTTTACAAGCTAGAGATTTGTACATGTGTATCAAGACTATAAGATTTCTCTAAGAAAACTTTTATTTTCAGTTTGATAAAAATATGGGGAAAAACAAGTATTAACAAAAGGGCACTGGATCATGTAACTGACCACCTTTTAAAATAGAGTTCTGTCGTAAGATTTCAGTTCACACGTTTGAGGTTGGGAGTGCACTAAACAAGTGGTACCATTTGTCACTGGCACAAGTAAATAAGAAATAAATGGCGACTATCATATGTCAGGTCAAGGTCAAATGAAGCCACAATAGGTAGGGTAAAGGTAGGTTCTCTAGTGATTTAAACAAAGACAAGAGGTGAAGGCATTAAGTAATCTCTCAAAATGAGGGCAACATGAATAGGCCTTTCTGTAAGGAATGTACACCATGGAGAAGACAAGGTACATCCACCTTTAGAGCTCTTTAGGCCCAGATAAACAATCCCATTGGTCATGATAAGTAAGTATTCATTTGAATATAATGGTTTTATAGTTTGGCTTTATTTAATTTAGAAATGTTTGGGTGTTATAGCTGTATAAAAGATATGACATAAGAAATACCTAGTTTTATATTTGCATACATATGACACACTAAAAATATTTCAAGTTAATGATGGAGAATTCTGGGTATCTACTCAGGTTTGGGAAATTCTGCTATAGGTGACCGGGAGCCACTGAGGATTATGACAGGCAAGTGACAGCCTGTGCTTTAGAAAAATCACTCTGGCAGCAGCAGGGGTTGTTGGAATTGAATATACCCAAGTCAGGCAGAAAGAGTAGTTAGGAGGGTACTTAATCATGTGATAAACATGGTGAGGTCCTAAGGTACCCGGATGAAATCAAGATGAGAGGGATAAGAGCATCAAAAGGACTTGGCTGTGTGTGAGGGAAAGCGGGGCACCTGGGATCACTCTCCCTTGGGTGACTTGGCGGTGAGATAACACAGGAAGGAAGATAAGCAGAGTTGAAGAGGAAGGAGAAAAAGAGATGATGAATTCAATTCAGCAATGATTTGAATTTCATTTCAGCCAAAGAAAACCCAGTTGTCTTTTCTGGGTTCCAGTTTTCTCAGTGACAGCTGCATTCATATGAATTACCAAATTAACTATTGTAGGGCTCTCTAAAAATATACAAACCACTCTACCGTATGCTGGAAATAAGTCATGAAAAATCAGCAAAAGCTCAGGCCCTGAAGGAAATTCAGCACCATTAGAAAGAGATACAGCAAATTTTTACCAAGCACTTAAATTGTGAGCCAACAAACTTACCCAGTACAGGAAGTCCTCATTTGTCATCTACAGCCCTTGGAAACTGCAATTTTAAGCAAAATGACATACAATAAAAATCAATTTTACTGTAGGCTAATTGATATAAATAAAGAGTTAAGTTCCTATGGCCTGTTCTGGTCACAAAATCATCAAACTTCTAAGCAAACACTGACATATTAAACAGTGTCATAAATGTGAGCTATATATACATTTAACATGTGAAAGATTAATAAAAACAAGATAATTATTTACTCAATTACTCCAGTTTAGGATCAAGGATGGCTAGAGTCTATCTCTCCAGTTCAGGGCACAGGGTAGGAACCAATCCTGGACAGGGTATTATTCCTTCGCACACTCAAATTCAAATCTCTGAATATTGTAGGAAACCAAGTACCCAGAGAAAACCCATGCAGATGTGGGGAGAACATGCAAACGCTACACAGACAGCACCCCAATATGGAATTGAACTTGTTTCTCATCAAATAATAAAAGGACATTATTTGAGGATATTCGAGGACCTCTTGTACTATCCTTTTTTTTTCGATCGCTCATTTTCCTTGAGCACTGAAGAACTAGAGGTAGCATGTTACATTCTCATGTGACAGGCAAAGACACTACCCTCAAGGAACTTAATTGAAATGCAAGACACAAATGATGCATAATTGTTGAAAATTTAGTGTGCTGGTTTCTTGTATTTACAGGAAGCGCTAGTTAACAAAGTATATCTTTTACCTATAGGAATCAGTGAGGAATATTTTAGGCAGTCCAATAAGAATGCAAGCATTTCGTACTTTATTTCCTATAAAGAAAAAAAAAAAGTGGCGGCGAGACGATGGAAAATGCAGCAATTATTCCCAAACTAGCTACTGTCCTCGCAGGCCACACAAGGGTGGGCCTCTGGGAAAGAGTAATTCGATTTTAGTTTGGTAAACCAAACCAGGTTTGAATTGCCAAACGAGGGTTGGATTGGAAGGCAGCGTCTTCCAACACCTACTCACAATATAAAAGCATAGTGTTATACACCCAAATGTTTAACCATCATCCTAATCCACAAAGTCCAATTTGCGGCTGAAAGGAAAGCCGCCGGGCGTACCTTCAGCACAGGACGCTGCTTTGGGGGAGAGAGGGTTTTGCAATTGGCACAGCGCCGCACTCGGCTCCTGGCCAGAGCCTTCCAGGGCCAAAGTTAAGGACTGAGAGACGTGGGGGTAGCAGGGCGGTATTAGACCGATCCCAAAGTGCAGAGCGCACACAAGGATCGTACACTAGGAGACTGCAGCACAGCTCCCCCGCAGCCCCCCTCCGCTTGAACTAGCGGACCCGGAAAAGAGCACCAGCCGGAAGGTGCAGCCTCACCCGGACCGGAGGAGGCGGGGCTACAGGGCCGGGCCGGAGAGGAGGAGGGGCTACAGGGCCGGGGCAGGAAGGAGGCGGGGCTAGGGGAGGGGATGCGCTCCACTTGAGGCGGGACTGAGGCCAGCCCACGCGCCCCGCCGCCTGACGGGAATTGTAGTTCTGGGAAGCCGACCCCCTTCTCCAGGAGGCACTGGGAACTACATTTCCCGGTGAGGGAGTGGTTCCAGCAAGCCGCGTGGTACCGCAACGTCGTACTGTCACCGGCCAGAGAGGATTTGAGGGGCAGTCTGGGAAGGGGGTGTTTTTTCCCTCCCCCTCTTCTCCGCGCTGTCAGGGCGCCAGGTCCCCTTCTCCTCGCTCCGCTGTCGGGTGCCCACTGGTAAAGATGAGGCCGAGACGTTCGGAGGGAGCAGCTGCTGCCCGGCACCGGAGCGTGGGGCGCGCCCCTCCGGCCCAGCCTACCCAGCGCCCGGCCTGCGCCTCCTTGGGCCCGACCCGGAAGCCCAACGTGTGCCACCGGCTGAGTCGTCGGGCACTGGGCTGCTTCTCGCGCGACGCGGGCGTGGTGCAGAGGACGAACTTAGGCATCCTGCGGGCGCTGGTGTGCCAGGTGACCGCCCGCCAGGGGCGGGAGGAAGGGCAGCGGGGCTCCTGCAGCCAAGCCTCCTGTTGGGATGCAGTTTTACTGTGCTAGGGTCCCCCTTTTTTAAAGGTGTTGTGTGATGGGGAGGATGATACTAGCCCTGAACATAGGTGATTAATAAATAGGTGTTAGCAGGGCCGCCAGATGCTTTTAATTTTAAGCTTCTTATGTCTTCCTACAAACATTGTAAAAGTTGGTCATCCCATTAAATTAAAACGTGAGAGCAGAGTGAGGAAGACTTCAAAATAGTGTTTTAACATAACGTGTGTGAAGTTACTTTGAAAACTGTAAGTTTAACTATCCAGCTTCACATTGGTACACAGTGGAAGCTTATGAGTTCTTTCCTAAACCGAAATTACTTGTGTCTTTCAGGAAAGTACTAAATTTAAGAATGTTTGGACAACTCATTCCAAGTCACCTATAGCCTATGAGAGAGGAAGAATATATTTTGACAATTATCGGTGTTGTGTCAGCAGGTAACTTTAGTGATAAATTTTGCTGTAATTCACTCACTTCATCTCAACTATAATCCATGTGAAACCACATGCCTGCATTAGACTTTAGTGAAACAAAAGAATGGAAAACTGTGGGGAAATGCCTGTTTTAAAAAATTCTGTTAAATCAGAAGTTGCAGGTTTCATCTTTGTAAATACCAATTTAAAGCAAAACTACTTTATAGAGTTCAGGCAAAATGATTGCTCAAAGTACTATTTACTGTTCATTCTATTTAAAAGATTGACCAGAGTCAAGAAAGCCGGTTACCAATTAGATGATGCTTTGGAGAAGAATTTCTTTATTTTGTTTTGGAAATACTTGCCTTTTTGTTTTTTTTAAGAGAAAAAAATTTCAAACAAATGCATAGCATAGATCCAAAACATTTAACAGTTACCCTCATCCACGGTTGTCCAATGTGAGCCTAAAGGAAGAGCCACAGCAGATCCCCACATACCCATTTCCTAGATTTAGAAGCTATCAAGATTTGCCACACTTGCTTTATCTAACCCATTTCTCCTTCCCTTTTCCTTTACCTCTTCACTAGATATTTTAAAGCATATTCTAAACATAAATAACATTGCTTTGTATCTTTGAAAAATATAGGCATTTTCTTTTTAAGAGCTCTTCACATACCATGCTATTTTCCAATTTAAAGTGTGCAGTTCAATAGCTTTTAATATGTTCACGGTTATAACCAGAGTTACTTTTTGAACATTTTCATCATCTCAAAAAGAAAGAAAGAAACCTTATACTCCTTAGTTTTTACCTTAATACCACCATTACCTCTGGCCTTAAGCAACCATCAGTCTACTTTCTTTATCTATAGATTGATCTGGACATTTCACATAAATGGAGTTGTAGTGTATGTGGTATTTTGTGACTGGCTTTTCCACTTAGCATGTTTTCAGGGTTCATCCATGTGATAGCATCTACCAGCATTCCTTTATATAGTCAACTAATATTCCATTGTGTGAATATACCCACTTTGGGAGGCTAAGGTGGGAAGATCTCTTGAGGCCAGGAGTTTGAGACCAGCTTGGGCAACATAGAGCCTGTCTCTTTCGAAAAAAAAAAAAAAAAATACCCTGATGTAGTGGCATAAACCTTGTTTTGCCTGAGCCTAGGAATCTGAGGTTACAATGAGCTGTGATTGGGCCACTGCACTTCAGCAGCCTGGGTGACAAAGTAAGACCGTGTCTTTATTATTTATGTATTTATTCATTCATTCATTTATTTGGAGACAGAGTCTCAGTCTTTCACACTGGGTAGAGTGCTGTGGGTTTCAGCTATCCTCTTGCCTCAGCCGCCTGAGTAGCTGGGACTATAGGCACTCTCCCATCATGCCTAGCTAGTTTTTCTATTTTTAATAGAGCCAGGGTCTTGCTCTTGCCTCAGGCTGGTCTCAAACTCCTTGAGCTCAGGCGATCCACCTGCCTTGGCCTCCCAGATTGCTAGGATTACAGGTGTAAGCCACTGTGCTTAGCCAAACAAAAATTTAAAAAAAAAAAAAATTAGCCAAGCATAGTGGTATGTACTTGTAGTCTTATCTGCTAGGGAGGCTGAGGTGGGAGTATTGCTTGAAGCCTAGGAGTTTGAGATTGCAGTGAGCTATGACTGCACTGCACTCCAGCCTAGGTGATAGAGTGAGACTCTATCTCTTAAAGAATTAAAAAGAATCCACTCCAAAATCTGAGGTCATGAAAATTTGTCCCTAAGTTTTCTTTTAAACATTTATGGTTCTAGTTATTGTATTTATGTAGTTGATTTATTTTCAGTTAAATTTTATACATGCTATAAGGTGAGAATTCAACTCTATTTTATTGCACGTGGCTATCCAGTTGTGCCAGCACCAGTTTTTGAAAAATTATTCTTTCTTTATTGCAAGGCTTTGCCACCCTTGTTGAAAATAAGTTGATCTTAGATACATGGGCCTCCTTCTGGATGCTCAAGTCTATTTCATTGATCTGTATGTCTGTCATCATGTCAATACCACAATGTCTTAATTACTGTTGCTATTAATATTTAATTACAATTGTTATGTGTTGGTATCATTTCTTTCTTAAATGTCTAGTAGAACACACCATTGAAATCATCTGGGCCTGGCATTTCTGTTTTGGAAGGTTATTCATTGTTCTCTTTCTTTAATAGATACAGCTTATTCAGGTTATCCATTTCTCCTTGGGTAAATTTTGATGGGTTGTGTCTTTCAAGGAATTACGCATTTCATCTGCATTATCAAATTTGTGATCACAGAATTGTTCATAATATTTTTTTATTATCCTTTTAATATCCATGGGATCAGTAATGATTGCCCCTCTTTAATGTCTCCTATTACAGTAATTTGTGTTTTCTTCTTTTTTCCTTAGCTTGGGTAAAGGTTAACCAATTTATTGATCTTTATTTTTGCTGTTTTGAGCCAGGGCTGGATTTGAACCTGCCACCTCTGGCATATGGGGCTGGTGCCCTGCTCCTTTGAGCCACAGGTGCCACCCTGATCTTTATTTTTAAAAAAGCTTTTGGTTTTATTGATATTTCTCTATTGATTTTTGGTTTTCTTTCTTTTTTTTTTTTTTTACATTTTCAGTTTTCAATTGTGTTACTGTTTTTGACCTATTTTTCATTATTTGTTCTTTTTGCTTACTTTGGACTTAATTTGTTCTTCCTTTTTTAGTTTTAAGTTAGAAGCTTAGATCACTAATTTTAGGCCTTTCTCCTTTTCTAATATTTGTACTTAATGCTATACATTTTCCACTAAATACAGCTCTTGTTGCATCCTACAAATGTTAATATGTTGTGTATTCATTTTCATTTAGTTGAAAATATTTTTAAATTTCTTTTGAGGCTTTCTCTTTGACCTGTGTGTTATTTAGAAGTATGTTGTTCAATAATGATTTGGGGGGAGATTTTCCAGTTATTATTCTGTTATTGATTTCTACTTTGATTACATTGTGATGTGAGAGCATACTTAGTGTTATTTCTAGTCTTTCAAATTTGTATAAAGTTTGTTTTATGGCTCAGAACATGGTCTATCTTGGTGAATGTTTTATGTAAGCTTGAGAAGAATGTATTCTGCATTGTTGAAGTATTCTGTACATGCCAATTAGATATGGTTGGTATAATTCTGTTCAGTTCAAGTATATCTTTATTTTCAGCCTGAAGGATCTGTTAGTTACTGACAAAGTAATTATTGCAACTGTAATAGTGAATTTGCTTGTTTCTCCTTGCATTTCTCTCAGTTTTTACCTTATCACGTTTTGATCCTCTCTTGTTAAATGCATACACATTAACAGTCATTATGTCTTGGAGAATTGACCCCTTTATCATTATGTAATGCCCTTATCTATCTCTGATAATTTTCTTTTTTTTTTTTTTTTTTTGGAGACAGAGTTTCACTATGTCACCCTTGGTAGAGTGCTATGGTGTGTTGCTCATAGCAACCTCAAACTCTTGTGCTTAAGCGATTTTCTTGCCTCAGCCTCCCAAGTAGCTGGGACTACAGGTGCCCACCACAAAGCCCAGCTATTTTTTGTTGTAGTTGTCATTGTTGTTTGGCAGGCCCACGCCGGGTTTGAACTTAACAGCCTCCTTGTATGTGGCTGGCTCCCTAACTGCTGAGCTATAGGTGCTGAGCCCCTGATAATTTTCATTGTTAAATTCTACTTTGTCTGAAATTAAT